GTCCTTGATTCATCTAAATAAATAAAAAATTATTATAATCAACTATAAATCTTCAACCATAGAAATTGCAATGAAATTTCAGCTTACTGAAAAGAACGAGCCTTCGCCTTCAGGTACGTTGGAAAAATGGACGAACTGCGGGAACTCAATCACCACCAATGTATCATCCATCTCCGCACTTCTATGTTCGTTCTCTTTCTCGTTGTCGACGTTAAACTTTTCCTTCTGTCAGAATTTTCACAACAGTTATTTCGAATTATTTTTCGAATATAACGTAACCCGGCTTCACTACATGTTCCCAATTTCTACTTGTCCTTCAGCGCGGCGATGCGAGCGTTATTATTCTCTTCGATGCCGTAACACAGAAAAAAAAATACTATAAGTCGAAAGTAAAATTCTAAACAGACAGAATCCGTTCGAAGTGGAACCGTTTATTTGGGCAATGAAAATTTCAATTCTTCGCGAGTGTTCGAGATTAGGCTCGAGAATAGAGGGTAAAAGGTGCGCCTTCACAATTGTAACAGTAACTAATGTACAAGAATAACTAACTGTCACAAATCATGAAAAATAATTACTGCAACGATAATTCGGAGAACCGAAAGACGAAATGAAGATTATTTAGCCGGAGCACCGGTATCTTAATTCTTTCCACTTGAGAACACCCTTTTCTATAACGCACGTTTCGACTTCGACGTTCGTAACGAATAGATCGAGACAAGGACGCGTCGAGGGTAATTTGGAGCGGTTAATAGACAACAAACGGGTGCTCCTTGTCACATAGGCACCACAGTCAGTAACGGTCCTTTATGTGCGAGCGTGACAGCCAATCACCAGACAAAGTCATGGTGATAGTTAGACAAGGATGCCGCTGTAATTGCGCGAGGTGGCCCATAGGTGTCTCACCTATGATTACCGGCGACGTAACACACAGCGAGTCGCGACACTTTCCGAATTCGGCCCGACCAGGCCCGACATTTACCGAATTCCCAGCGAGCTGCGCTGTAGATGTTCACCGCGACGCGAATTCAGCTCGGCGGGCATGACGTCATGCCGCGGGCCAACCAATCCCGAACAATGAGATTTCATTCAAAATGGATTGTCTGAGTTTAAGTGAATAAAATTATCTGATTTAGTGACCATAGAAACACTTTGTCTTGATACTGTCACACGAATATGTCGGTTAGATCGTCGATACAGGTTCACCGACAACTGTTCCGATACGTGTAGTAGTCGATGTCCAAAATAAAAAAAACTCACAATCACGGTCAACGTCTTTATGTATAAGACATCAGGCTTGGCCAAAAATTTGCTCTCGTGGCTAATTCTTCCCTCTACGGAAGGAAAACACGTTGCAAATACAGCCTCGCCCGTCATGCGACTGTTACGAGCCGAGGGCTAAAGATGCTTCCGGCTGTTACTATAACGAGAACGACTAACCGAGGATCGGTTGTTGGAATTGTTAGTCGTGATCAGCCAATGCCTATTTCATCATCGGGCTGCGGCTCCCTGATTTCGCATCAGGTTCGCCGATACATTTCATTTTTCCAAGAGTTTTCCAACCTAGTGGATCCTCGATTTCGCTTCGGGTTCGTCCACGAAACTTGATCTATCCAGTGGCTTCCTGATTTCGCATCAGGTTCGTCCGCATCTTAACAGCGCCCTGATTTTGCATCTGGTTCATCTGTACAAATTTTCCAACCACCTCGCAGCTCCTCAGCTACGCGCTGAGTTCGTCTGGACAATCCCATTCTAGTGACTCTCCAAATTCGCATTAGGTTCGTTCGTTCCCGAGTTTCACCTTTCTACGACTCCCTAATCTCGCATCAGGTTCATTCGCAAGTGATTCCGTTCCTAGAGGCTTCCTGATTTCGCATCAGGTTCGTCCTCGCTTTCAAAAATCTTAGCAACTGTCTGGCTTCGCCTCAGATTCATCCGCGCACATCACTTAAAAATTGATAAATCATATTTCTTGGAAAACCTACACTCGCCGGCCTCTGGCGTTGCTCGCAACCCTGGCTCATAACAACATGGGGCCATATCGGGAGAATATTGTGGGTGAGTAAGCACACAGACTTATTTTTTCTCTAGAAATTGATTTACACTGAATCGCCCTGTTAACCAAAGCATTGTCGTACAACAAGAACCAGTTGCTTGAAACGCGATATTCGGGCTTTATACGACGAATCTGATTGCATAAACGCGACAAAAGTTTGCGATTTTGGAATAAAAGGTATAGAATTCCATTTAAAATAAGGAAGATGATCTTGAAATCTCCGAAATGCACCCACCTATAAAAAAATTATATGCACTGCGTATTGTATCTCTCTAAACCATGCAACTTTTGTATACAAAAGTTTCTCATACAATGGATACTTTAGAAGTTATTTAAGGTGTGCAAGTTGCGTGAACTGTATATTAATATATACGTTGGAGTGTCTGTTTGAGGAATCATTGGGAGATCGAATTACAATTCTCTAATTAAAATTATTGACTATTTATAGAAAGGATATGGTACTCCTCTGATTTTGTTTCGAGGATCATCATGAAATCAAATTACTACTGTATCAAAATACTCACAAATAATAAAAATCTCTTGTACTAACCTTTCCAGTTTCTTTTTCAGGTTAGAAAAAATCACTGTTTTCGTGGGGACAAATTTGCGCACCATCAATCAAATCATTATGCAATCAACAATAGCATGATAAATAATATGAGCAATTGGCTGCGAGCTTGTTCACTTTGCTCAACTAATCCTTGCCACTGGGCCAATATACTGCCCATTTTGTAAGCGGTATAAATACTTTATCACGGACGATGTCTAAGATGATTAACCTTTTTTCGTGCTAACATTGCATAAAATCGTGTTTAGTGCATTGCATGATAGATCCTACACCTTGTCTGTGATGCAATTAATTAATTATCGCGATGTCATTAACGATACACTAACAAGTACAAGGCCAATTGTGTGATTTATTATTCAACACTTAACTATGGTACACCTTACAAATGATACACAATAGCTTCCTATAAAACGTACAATATCACGTTGTACAAATCGTACAAAAATATATACAGCACTCTTCGTGTAAACATTGAAGAATTAAGCTACAGTAAGCTAGAAAAAATGAGGCACAGTTTATCACATCATTGTCATTTGGTGCGTTTTGATTCAATGAACACAGTAAAAGTTTATTATTAACAGTGTCATTCCTGTTTAACCCTGGTGTACTATTCAGAATTAACTTGGCTCTAGGGCGAATGAATCATGCATTTTCAACCATTTCTTGCATGTACACAAATATTGTCTACATATTACTATATAAATATGCAATACTACATTTTCAATAATTGAATTTTAATTTTTGCTGAAGTTACACACTGAATACATATGCCATAATTACTCGAATAGTACATAAGGGTTTTAAGGGCATATATTATCAAGGCAGATTAAATTCACGCGCTTTTCTGACAGTTCGAAAACGCCTGGAAATATGAGATCCGACTTACTTTGATATTGTACTGGCGATTATCGGCGAGACTAGGAATTGTATTTAATTCCCTATAACATGCAACAGGGTTAAACAGTAGTTGCCTGACCGAGGGGGGACTCTAGCGTTCAATTTTTGCACTGAGACGTTGCTATTCTTACTTCTTTAAATTAAGTATTTTGCAATTTATTACAAGAGAGACGCGGATAAAGCATTAACACGTTGACTGTCGTAATAGTCACCGGTAACCGGCGGCATTACATTATATGAAGAAACATTCAGTTTTTTAAACAGGAACATTTAACGTTTTACAAATCTAATTAGTAGTAGAGTAATAATAAAACTAACAAGTGTTCAACTTAATAGTTACTAAATACTTATATCATTAACAGTAAAAACTTAAAGAAATGTATTTTTATCACAATATTGTCCCAATAGTAAAAACAAGTCAACGTGTTCCAGGCATACATGTACCACTTTCAATGCAACGAGATTACATGCCTCTTAGACAGTTAGTAAAAATTATCTGTTAAATGTAAGATTATGGGGTTTCTTTCCAATAGAAGAATGCACTTTGATATGGTATTTGAAACCCTATCCTGATGAACCATTCTGGATGGTATACAAGATTTATGCAGAATTGTTCATCTGAATGAAAAGAACCAATAAAACTATAATCCAGAATGTCGTGCTATTAATTTCTGCGCTGTTTGCACAGTTGTGAAATGTTCAGGTTCTTATTATAATTGTGAGTGAAGTAATTATAGCAATTGTCTAAAGTCTAATATATTGGCATCTACTGAGAATGTACCTTAAAGTATTCCAATTATCAAAAGCATTTACACAAACACAGCCATATACAGAGCATGGTCTGAATTTACTCTCAGAAAAAGGTATCCAAAGTTCTAAAAATTCTAAAATTATACATCGCTTTAAATAGCCAGCACAATGTAAATTATTCTTCTATATTCGCCCATCGTCACAGAGAGACAGTCTTTCTTCACGTTTGTGTGTATGTTTAAATCACAGAGACATCAAGAAAAACTATAAAAAAACATATAAACACCACGATTACCCGCCATTGTCATTTGTGTTAAGATATTCAATTCTCAACGAGACATACAACTGTCTTATATAAAAAGAGCTCCTACACTCCATGATATGTTCTAACAGTTCTATTGGGTTGCTGCATAAATTCTCTCCATTACTTTCTCAGAAAGTAAAGAGGGAGTCTAATACACATTAAGAAACTGACTGTAACAGAGTACCATGAAATCTAGTTGACAAATATGATGCAACCCAAAGCACTGTTTTTATAATAATAAAACTGTTAGCTAACTTCGAAAGGGTCAGAACTTTCGCAGCAACCAAGTACTACTACTTTTAGATTCAAGTAGGATAGTATCAAAACGTCAGTTCGTTGCGTCACTGTACGCATTACAAGAGACAGCTACAGATTTTTCAAAAGGCACCGTTCGAAATCGACGCTCCCGAACGTAGGATCGACGAATCTCATGTAACTTTCTTTAATTTTGGCATTCTTTTCGGACACCACTGAACATGAATATTCCAGTGTTTCTCTTGGCACCGTTCATTGCAGTAAAAGACCGTCTCACAGCCGAGACACTTGAACTTAGGCCCGATGACTCCGCAGTTCGAGCAAGCTAGATTGTGCAGGCTGCGGGGACTTCGATCCACCTTGCCCAGATGTGGAGTCTCGCAGTTTCTGGCTTCGTTTACGGGCATAGCTCTGGTCATTTGGGGGACTAAGATCCTATACGGTGTCGTGGGGACGATAGATGAGATTGGTGGCTGGCCGTCGCAGGTTGGGTTCTGTTGAATGAAGCTGTCCGTTGTTTTAACGAGCTCCAGTCGATCAAACAAAAAATTCTGCATCTGTTGATACTTGGCCACATTCTCGTGAGCTTCTTCGGTGAAACTAGTGTTCTGCGACTGACTGGGCAAGCGAGGCGTCTCTTGTTTGTTGGAGCTCGCCACGCGAGGGGTCTCCGTGGTTATCACGTTCCCTATAGCGGCGGTGGACATGTCTGTTTCGCTTCTGTTGCACGCCAGAGTTTCATGTTGCCTATCCAAAGAGGCCGCCGCGACAACTGCAGCCGCTGCTGCAGCAGCCACCACGTCAGGGATCATTCTGTTCTGCGGAAATTGGTTGCTTGCGGGATATCCGGGCACGGGTGCTCTGGGCAGAGTTTGCTGCGGCGAGGACAATGATGTAGGTGATAAAAAAAGCGATGGTAAGCTAGACCCTCTATGGTGGTCGTGAGCTAAAGCGGTCGAGTGTGTTGAGTGTGTCTGGTTGCTCGTTGCAGGCGGGGGATACTTCATCATAGTCTCTTGCAGAGGAGGGAAACGTCTGTCTAGATGTTGATGCGGTCGAAGACTTTCTTGCATGGGAAAATGGTAGCTTGACAGCGTTGCTGGATGCAGTCGCGAGTGGTATGGATATGGGCCGTAAGGGCAGATTCCTGGATGGTAACCAAGGGCGGTTCCATTGTAGGGGTCAATCTGCAAAATTGGAGAAATTCTTACAGTGGACTGGAAAAGAATACGACGACATTTTGTTATACATATAGTATGATATCAAATAAAAATTATATATAGACATTATTCTACAAGAAACACCTACGTATTAATAATATATGACGGAGCCTTTAGTTTATTCGTAACGTAATGATCTTAAGGCAGCATTTATCATTTTTGCGCTCAAAGGTTCGTGATTTCCTTTTTAGAAATTAAAATACATTTTAATATGTAACTTTGGCTGCATATGGATATGTTTAAGGAATAACTCTGAATGTTTACAGTAAACGAAATTCAATACTAAAAAAAGTTATCAGTTGAAACATGAGCCTTAATTTTTGCCATGACTACAATAACAATTTTTATAGTGACCTACAATGAGAAATTTAAAATTATTTCCAATTTACAAACTTGTCTTTATATCCAATGACACAACTATTTAGAATAAGATAGATAAAGTCATGTGGCAGTGCATAAAAACACAAATATCAATTTTTCAACTTTCATTCACTTCTAACATCAAGTAATAGATAAGTTTTGTAAGTCCGCTATGAATTATAAACGTATGGTCGTATCACGTATACATAATTTCCAGTCAATTGTTCAATTACTTTGAAAGAAAAAAAAGGTTCATATTTCAACTTGTAACTTTCTTAATATTGAACTTTTTTATCATAAAAATTCACACATTTCTTTTTAAAATATTTAAATATACGGTCAAAATTCCAGTTACAAATACTTTCTAGTTTCTTGAAAAAAGAATCACCTATTTTTTACCTCAAGGAAACGAATACCTCTTTAATGAAGAATATAGATTTGGCTGTTTATTACAATAATTACTGATCTTTTCTACTCACGGCATAATTGTTCGAATAATATTGATTTATAGGAATGGGTGGACAAATGCTAGGCCGGAAAGGAGAAACCGTCGGCACCGATTGCCCAAGAGTCACCGATGCAACGTGTTGTAGCAATTGTTGCTGTCGCTGTTGCTGGTGCTGATGATGGTAATACTGCCACCTTTCATTACCATATTGAGATGTCGTGTTCATGATATCGTTGGTCGCATTGGGACCAATTATCTTCTGCGCCTCAGACCCAGCCAGCTGCTAAAACCAATTGATATTGATAATGTGAATCGTACGAGAATTAATTTTGTAGTAAAAAAGAAAAAAGAACCACTCTCACTCGGGCAGAGTTTTCTGTTGATCCAAACGATGCAGTTCCGTCCTGTTGCAATTTGGATCTAGTCTTCACAGATTGTTTACTGGACATTCGAGCCACCCAGTTACCAAGGGTTGGAAACTGTTCAGTGATAGAGTAGTTATTCGTGTTCCCTTGGACAGCATCGATGTTCGATTTCTCTGCTTTGCAGTTCTGTTGCTGTCTGTTAACCAATAATAATTTAAGTATAAACATGGCAACTGGAAAATACAGGGTGCTAATAAAAGTTGGTATAGTTTCACAAGAGTGGTTTCTGGACGTCAAAACAGTAAGAAGAAAGTTAAACTCGCAGGTTGACCTTTTGGTGAAATAACCCCTGTAAGAACACTGTAATATTCGTTGCATAAACGTCGATTAGCCTCTAATTGTTAGAAGATGGTCAGTTTTGACAATAATACAGACAAAGGAGCCAGGATTCGCTTAGACCCTCATATATCATTCGTCTTAAATACATTTAAAACATGTTTCTTTGAGAAATTCTTGTCTTTTTCCCCCAAGATAATACAATATAAACGAAAACCAACTTAAATTACTTATCGTAAATTGTTAACTTAGACGAAGCTCAAGAAAACTCGGGTCAAACTGGACACGGGCACAGCTGCATGGGCGTAGCCAAGGAGGGCAGGGGGGCCACTTGCTCCGAAATTGGATTTTGCCCCACCCCCCTCCCTTCCCAGAGTTACAAAATTTGTGCGTAACATTTTCTATTGCAATATAATTTGAAACATGACCAACAGCCTCTATTAACAAACTGCATACATTTTAAACGATTTATGACTTTAAAAACAAAATAAAGTGTGTCTGGCTACGTACAGCCTTGTTCACTGTGGTAGTCGATGTGTTAATATTCTTGCCCCCTTCCCCCCTGACTGATAACCTGGATACGCCCATGCATAATTAGCCGAGCATTAAAACTGATAGTTCTGCATGTATCTCCGTGTTTATAGGAAATAAAAAATTGCGCAGAATCAACGACTGAAACAAAATCAGACATGCCTGCAGATAAACTTTTCTCACTGTTTCAATGTCTGCAATCCACTCTCTGAAAATGTCTCACGTTTTTCTTAACACGCTGTATTGTCGACTTTCTTACTTACATAACAGCTTCTTGTCTCAATGGAGGTTCCACTGGTCCAACCTGAATGACCAAGCCGGAGCTTGAAGTGACCTACATAAATACACATCACAATTAAATATTTTGGTCTGCGTTGAAGGATAATGTTTCAAATTTCATACCTTCTGGACACTCTGACAGGCTTCATCAGCTTCCGCGAACGGTTCCTTCTGACTGGATCCATAAGAATTAGGTTGTAGAACTTCATTGCCACCAGTAGATTCGAATATCTCGCTAGCAGAAACAGTGGCAGCCGCATCCAGACCGCTAGTCACAGAGCTGATGACTGGCCCTGAATTCGGAAAGCCAATGGAATCGATCCTCTCATCCTCCTGTATCACCAATCGACCCGGAGAAAGCTCTTCCATACAATTTTGATCTTTCATTTCCTCTCCGTCAAACTGATTATTGTCAAACAGTGACACAACGTTGTCAGAATGATCCAAAGACCTTTTGTCCACATCGAAATCATCTGCTATTGAGTTCGTCAGACTGTTTCCCGCGGTTCGTATACACTCCTCCAGGTCAGCAGATGCTTCGCCTATGGAACTGTTGTGAATGGAATGACTGGAAATCGTCTGTTTCTTTGATTCCTCGCCCTCCGTCCAGATTTTACTTTCGGACACCTGGAACTCGTCGTCCTGACTGGATGAAATTGTTAGGCAAACTCTGGGTAGAACCGGAGGACTGTTTCTGACCTCCTCGGGCAGTATGTCGGTGTAAGTTACCGGAAATCGAGGAGACAATTTCGGTGGTTCGGGGGAGGAAGCCGGAGATTTAACTTTCATGGATCCTTTATCATTCACGTTCAGTTCAACAAATAGATATCCCTCGTCCGGCGGACACGTGGCGTTGTCGTTGACGTCGGTCACTTCACCGGAACCCGACAGCGCCGCGGACAGCTTGCTGTGCAGTTTAGACAGATTCTCGATCTGTTTCTCGTATCGGTTCATTACCTGTCTCAGTCGAGTGTTCTGCTGGGAACTGGAGTCGTTCGCCATGTGCTTGGCTAGATCCAGAGCTTTGCCCCTTAATTCCCTGAGCTTCTGTTTCAGTCTGTTACGACGATACTTTAGTTTGCAGCTGTCGTTTTTCAGAGACTCCAAATTAGTATCTTTTTCGTGGAGCAAGCCGTTCCAAGTACTGGGGCTCGGTGTCATTCGCGAACGAGATGTCTTGCCTCTGATGATCTTGTAATTTGATTCCTGCCCGGATTCTGCCACGATCTTGGAACTCTTGTCCTTTACCGTCTCTGTAATCGAGAACGAAGTGTTTGAAAGTACTGGAGAGTACATTTATTCCTATTAATTTTAAAAGTGCTTTTTCTTAGAATCGGCATCCGAAGGATTTTATGTGGAAATTAGAAAAGATTACGTAGATAGAAACCGTCTATATAGGAAACCGTGTTCCGTACATAACTGCGTTCGAACAAATGTACTCGATAACTGAACCATGTAAGAATATGTTCTCCACAGATGTCACTTTATTAGATTAGACTATTTCTATAATTACTTCACTAAAAATACAATAACAGCCTAAACTTTCCACGTGGAAATTGCACAAAAGTTGGTACAGCATTCTGCATTAGAAAGCTACTGGATTTTTTTATACAAATGAATAATTTTACATGAATCTTGTACACCGCCCAGAAGAATTCATTATAACATGATCTTAAACACCACATCAAAGTGCATTCATTTACTAGAAAAAGTCCTACGATCACCTATTTAACGAATAATTTTTTAAGGATGTATTTAAAGAAATGACTGTAGAAACATCTCTGTCTGGAATCACACGTTAGAGTACCCCCTTAAGTCAGGTAACCGCATTTTCACCTACCCAGGTTGCATATCTCCAGGGTTCGTACTCGTTTCCCAGTCTCGCCGTCGGTGACCATTACTACAGACGAGGTATAGGAGTAGACATTTCATCCAATGTATTTTTTCGGCCCACTTTTCTGGGGCGACGTCGCCCCATTTCCATTTTAGTGTCACTACCCACTGCAGATTCATCGTTCTCATAACGTAGAGGTCGCTAAAATCACAGGCTTTTTGAGATGTCGGTACTACAGTTTAGGTGGGTCACAAATCCCATAAGATGAAAGATCAATTCTTATACCTCGTCGGTGCCATTCCCTAGATACTCATTTAAAAATCCTCTCTAACTTTCGACCATTTCCTACTCGAAATTGAAACTCATTTTACAGGGACTGATGAAGAATCTTATCTGCAAGTTATTCTTACTCGTGCGTGCAACTTTCTTCAGTCTCAACGGAGGCACCACTTTCACGCAGCTGTCCTCCCTGGTCGTCGACACAACTTTGGCGCACTTGTCGCCGTATACATCCCGCGTCCCGCCATTGTCATTCGACACGCAGAAGGTCCTCAGAAACTCGTTTACAGAATTCTTCACGGAGTTCTCTCTTCCCTGGCTTGAGTCCGCCTCCTGCGACTTTCTCTTCTTACTGCTCTCTTTGACGGTATCTTGCGACTGATCAGCATCATCGTTTACCTTCCTTTTCATTCCACCGCGACTTCCCGCGTTGGAAATCAGTGGGAGGATGTAATCGCCCGAAACCGGCGTCTCCGTCAACGAGGCATCGACAGTTATCGCAGGTGTCTCGTCTTTCTCGTTAGGGATCTCTGTGTTCGATGTCGCTGCAGTCGACTTAACTGGCTCAACTTCGACCACGTCCAGCCTGACCGGCCGCGACAGAATTACCAACGATCGGCCATCTTTGCGAAAGGATCGCGTGGGCAACGGAGCCGGACGAATCGGCAGAGAACGATTCGGCTGCATCGGGATCAAGCATGGTCCACGGTCGGACAAGGCGGTTGCCAGGCTTCCGCTTCCGGTGCTACTTGACTTGCTCGAGCTGTCCGCTATCATAATCCGGGGTTCTGAAATCATGAATGGCAACATGTAGTAAGTAGTATGAAGTAAGTTGTGCGTTAGCACATTCAGAATTCCATGGCTCACACCGGTGGATCATAACCAGACTGTGAATGTTTATGAATTTATAGTGTCTCTTAGCTTGGAAAATGCAAAATAAAGTTTCCAAAAAATGTAAGTACTATTTATGTGCAATTGTTGATATAGTAAAGCTTCCTGTACAGAATTCAAAATTTTGCCCAATTTTAATTTTTAGATATTGATATTCGAACTTCTCACTTTGCATAAACTTTCGTAGTCTAATCATAACCTAACACTCGGTGCCTAACGTATTTTTGAAGAGACAACAAATATAATAAACCGGTGGGTGGGTAATCATATTTCTAAGCGTTAACCCTTTGGCTGCCAGTAGGCCGATCTATCGGCCTTCGGTACCTATGCGAAAACTGCCACGGGCCGATATGTCGGCTCCGTTTGTATACGTTCAGATCAACGGCCGTGGAATTTTTCGCATATTCGATGTATTTAGGGCTGGTAGTAAAGGATTAAAGTGTTCCAAGCGGAGTCGAACTGCAGATTACTTGGTACTTGCGCAATTACTCACTAAATCTTACACTACGCGTACTTACATGTAATCTGTAGTCTGCACAAGTGAATTTCCGGGTGTTATTTTCTCTGCACGTTTAGGAACATTATAATGCTGGGCGTGTCAGATTAAGTGCGAAATATTTTAGGAGTGACATCAGCACATCAAAACAATTAAAAAAGTTCAGGTAAACGTATATCCTATTCGACTTTGTTTTGAGTTATAACGAATTTTGTATCGCAATATGGAATTCTTTCGTTAGATAAACGTAGTGTCACTCAATTCCTCCGAATTGTGTACAAACAAATCTCGATATCCTTCGCACAACATTGTGGTCTAATGCTGTAAATATGTACTACGTCTTAGTATCTTATGAGTAGAAGTAGTAGTATTGTACGAGTCTCAAGAGCATTGCGTTTCGAGATTGTTGAAATACATCGCGTGTGAACACGCGACATGTTTTTTTACATAGTGAGACAGACATCGATAAAACGTCTGCAGGATTATATTCAGATGGGAGGAAATCATTTCTACATCTTTTATGAACGTAGGTAAATAGAGATTTTTAAAAATCAAATCCGCTATAACTCGAAAAGAAAGTCAAATAGGACATATGTTTATATGAACTTTTGTTTCTGTTTAGATGTGTTGAGTCAGCTCTGAAATATTTCTCACTTATTCTAGGACATTCTGTGTAATTACTGTACTTTTATACTACCAAAAAATGTATATACAGTGGAACGCCGATTATTCTATACGGATTAACTAATATGCAGACAAATCAATTCGGACAAGCGGTTTTCCGAATAATCAGCATTAACCAAAGCCAAGAACCAAAGTTTAACACGTCGACAATTTGGTTTACAAATTTATATCATAGATTATCTCTACATACTTCAAATCCTGTGTACTCTATTGTTAATAGAGCCGTTGCACGCTCGTTCCCATGCTTTTTTTACAGTACATACTTCTAAAAAATATTCCTGACTCGTTCTGTGTTCTGATATAAACGATATTTGAGATAATCGACGTTTTACCGTATTTATGGGTACATTTTGTTGTGAATGCTGTAGAAAAAAGTTTTTTTTTAGGATTTTTGTAAAAGAAAACTATAACACAGAGTATACAGCACTCTAGGATTTATTACTGTACATTTTAAGAGATGAAAAGTTTTTTTTATGTTATTTTGTTTAATATATAGGGCAAAAACCAGCAATGGTAGAGACGTTTAGAAAAACGGATGCGTAAATGGTATACTAAAAATCTCAAGATCTACTCATGTCAAGTAAAAAAACTTAAGTTTTTCTTAAAACTTATAGGCATAGTCATTGTCGTATCAAGCAGATTCAGAAGTTTGGGTTAATAAATACATTTTTTATTTAAGATTCTAATGAAAAGATTATCTATTTTTCGAACACTTTCACAACACCAGGCCCCAATCAGCGAATTTTCATTATTTTTCAATAAGAGTGCTTGATGCAATAACCATCCTTATGAATTTTGAGAAAAACTTTGGTTTTTTAATTTCAGACGAGTGGATCTCGAATGTTTAGGTACACCGTTTGGGCATCCGTTTTTTAACGCCAAAATAGTCATTGCTGGTTTTTGCCCTATACAGGGTGAACCACGAAAAATGATCAGATTGGATTATTCCACTGCTAGCTGTTCGATCGAAAACATTTTTGACTAATATAACATAATTCAAGGAGAGCTTCTATCCCTTTTTCTCCAGAGTTTTCAAGGCCACCTTCACTTTTTTATAGATAAACTTACAATTTATTTATACCCATCTTTTAGCGGATGTTGAGACAAATTCGGCAAGCATCATAACAATTAATTTTTTTTCTTCTAAACTAAAGAAACATTAAGAAAATATCGTTTACCTTAATTTAAACGATGTTCAAAATCGTGTCCATCAGCTGCAATACACTCGCGTAAACTGTTTAGAAACGATTGCTTAGTTCTATTTATGACGTCCGCACTGATGGTTAAGCATGCAAACAAATTTTCGATCAAACAGCTAGCAGCAGAATAATCTAAACTGATCACGTTTAGTGGTTCACCATGTAGGGGAAAGGTGTCTAAAACGATCCCTTTAAGGCGTAATTTATATAAAAAATACAAATACTCATTATTTAAATAAAAGTAAAGTAGTTTTTGTAAGTTAGTCTATCTATCTTACCATTGGCTTAAATAAAATTTAGCTACGTGATCAATTATATTTTTTATTCACATTTCTTTGAAGGCATACTTTAGGATCATTTTGTAATGTATGTGTATAAAAAGATCCCCGGCGATCATTTTATACCTATTGATAGTAACTACGACGAACATTAAAAAGCATTTCATTTCTTACATTTTATTTAAATAAAAACAGCTTTGATCCTTCATACTGACTGGGCATTGTTGTAACCACAGATGGGCAAATTCATTATCTAGATAAAAAGTTTCGAATAACGAATAAAAAATTCAAAAGTCATTTCTAATTGTTTAAACGTGGAAATTTCAATTTTTATAATAAAATAATACTTCTTTATGAATGAATCGACATTTGTCGAACAATTATTTAATCTCATTAACTGTTTAAAGCTCAGAACGATATCCTTAGATACTGCTGCTTTTCACTGTGTATTATTCGAATAAAATTCTGCCCAACTGTGGTTGTAACTAAAACAAAACACAATAATATAGCATATGGGTAAAATGATTCCGGGGATTATTTTATCCTACTAGAGAGGGATCATATGACCCCAAACACCCAACTCACATTCAGTGGTTGAATATAACATCAACTTATCACATGCGGTAACAAAACATTAATTAACTTATTATTGAATTGCGGTTAAATCCGCGCAATAAGCAGCTGTCATATTAAACCGTTTATGGCAAAAGTTACACAACATTGAAAAAGACCTTATCTTAGATAAATTGCAGTAATTCTACATTTTTCTTGTGGACAACACACAGAGCACTGATATTCACATGGCACTTCGAGCAACGACTAGTGATGTTGCAGGGAGAACTATTGTAGAACGACATTACGATATAGCACCTCTAATAACTACAGGGTAGCCAGGAATCATTTTACCTCGAGGGATCGTTTTAGACACCTTTCCCCTATATTAAACAAAATAACGTAAACAATTTTTTCATATCTTAAAATATATAGTAATAAACCCTAGACCGATGGTTTAGTCTATGTGTTACAGTTTTCTTTTACAAAAACCCTTAAAAAGCCGTTTTTTTACAACGTTTACATCAGAGAATGTATCCTTAAAGAAAAAAGAAAGAAAAATGTGGTCGAAGCTGTCGCCCGGAAAGCGAAAGATCCGAGTTCAAATTCTGATCCAGTACCCGATTTCTTCCTCTACTACAAACTAATGAAAAATACTATAGTTTGTCACTGCGAGACATATGTATATAGAAGATTCGCTGGACAGTGAACATGTTAAGGGTAGACAGCCCCATATCGATTTCACGAAGAAACATATGCCATACGGTTATTCTTGAGAAGTTCCCTTTTACATACTGCTTGCGAAACTTTGCAGACTGGTAATGACTTATGGAAACGCTCGTTCTTTGTCAGTGGTAACAATATACTGACTGCTAATGTTTATACGCAATTCAAATGTTTATACAGTTACTCAGATAAGGATTCATCCATTCCATACGTACGGCATACTTTAAGAATGTAAATAACGTTAAAGTCAGAATTAATAATACAAATTTGCAGCAGTCTAAACGTTGATAAGCATACCTTCGATTCGGATGCATTCAATTAAGAAATTATGTGCGGTTTATTTCATCATTGTACACTACTCGGATTAATTTGACCCGACATTGAGACTCAATTATTAATTACGCCTATTGTTAGTGTCAAAGTTGGTGAATCAATTTGATATTGACAGAGAACTTATGTTACAATTTAGTGACAGGTCTATATATTTTCCCGATTTTATTTCAACTTTGATTCGATTTACTTGAAGGGATCGACAAGTTAACAGATTTTTGAACGGTGCACGAGAGTTGAAAAAGTGTTGTTAAAATAAGTTTCAGTGAAAAGGAAAATCTAAGACTTATAGTAAAATTGCGGGGACATCCGACGCAGATATAATTCAATGTTAGATAACTTTGTATAAAATAATTAGTAACTTTGGATGTATGCTATGGCATGCCTTCTTTTGCAACTTCTACCGATACTTATTTAAATTACTTCTTTAAATAAAAAATGCACAATTTCTCGAATGAGTGCACCTCACATTAAAGTTTATTAATGAAGATTTATACTAAAACAAACTGTAATTAATATTTGTAATTCTAACGGTAAGTAAGTACATATGTGGAATATCTTCCGTATGAGTTAAGCAGATATTTTCGTTAGTAACTGTACTTAACTAGCACATAACTTTGATAATACATAATAACATATTCGTATTGTAAATAATCTCCGATTCCCCCTTTCTAAGTTTTTTCTGACGTAGCATACTGATCAAGCTATACGTATCTTTAAAACGCTAGAAAAAAAGTATCTTATGATGCATCATACCCAGAGTTGGGCAAAAATCTAATTACAAAATCTAAGTTATAATTATAATATAATTGCGGCACAGTTACAATTACATTGTAATTTTTATTGTAAATTTAGTATAGTTAATTAGAATGTGATGGTATTAAATCGCTGGCTAGAATTCCGAGAGTTAATGATGGTTTTTTATTGGTACAATTTACCCAATATCACAGTAAAAATGATTCAAGTAGCTCGATTATTTATCTACGGTAAAAAACGATGGTTACCCTAAAAACGAAAGTTTTTCGAGGAACAAAAAAAAGAAGATTAAATAATTTAATTTTGTACCTATCATAATGGTTGTGGAACAATTCCCATTTCCGTTTTCTTCATTCACCTCCGTCGGTGTCTTCACGTCATCGAACGATCGCTTCAGGATCGTCTGCTTCCACGTGTTCTTCTCGTCGGTGGTGAGATCAACAAAAATCGGTATTTCTCGATCGTCCGACTTAGAGTTCACGTGTTTCATCGTCGATCCAACAAAATTCTTCTTTCTCACCAGTTCATCGACTTTCTTCGGTCCCTCTCCATCATCTTCCGAAGCTTTCCCAGTCCCTAGATCATCCCCGATCCCACTGGAGCTAGTGATCAAGCAGACTCCCTGCTCACCTTAAAAATTTAACACATTACGGTTCGTGTGTACATACTTGTACATGGCATTCAAGTTACGACGCAATCAGTGTACACGAATTTGCGCATTTCATTTAACCCTCATTCATCCCCAATTTTCCCAACGTAATTTGTCCCTCCGTGTTAAATTGACGCAGTGGTAACAAATTAATATCATGAAGAGATAAGTGATTAAATTTGCAACTTCTTTAAAATGAAAGTCACAGAGCCACAGTAAATTTACCTGTACATGATAGAATAACATTATATCTTACGAGAAAAATGTGTCAAATTGACACATGGGACGGATGAGGGTCACCTTATGATACAGTCCGTGTGCACAAAATCGTGCATTCCACTCGATGGAATTATGGCAAAATTCATGTGCGCATATTTGTAATAGGTACAGCGAATCAAATTTTGATATTTGAAATTCGTTAAAATTATAAATGTAAATTGAAGAAATGGTGATTCATCTGTAAGTGCATATGAACGAAATAAACCAAACAGTGTTATCTAATAATTATAATTTTTTGATCACAAAAGACCTCAGAATTGCATCATTCGTCTGTTCACCAGATCTCGAAGGAAATTTCTAACGAAACAACGGACTGTTATGTATTAATTAATTTCATTAATTCATACAGCAAATCAATTTACACACACACGCGCACACATTAACCCTTCAATCGTGTAACTTTTGGAACGTCACATTGACACGACCCAGATAAAGACAAATACTTTCACACATCTCGTACGGAACGACTTTACAGGTGGAGAAGTTGCGGCAATTCTGTGCATTGACGATTTCTATCGAAAGTCTGTACCATTCTCTTCGCAGTAAAGGTGCTCCACGACACGGTCGCCCTCTTCACCCCCGTCATCTTCGTCCTGGGCCCGCTCACCGCCCGATGATCCTTCGTAAAATGTGAACGTCGCGATATCTGCCGGTCTCTCCATTTTTCTGCCGATTTTGTTATCGCGGGATATCATCACCCTTGGCCAGCAGCTTGCTGCGAACAATCCTGGGATCGTTTCACGCTTCTTCGGTCTACCTTTATACTTCGCCGGAGGATCATCCGGCTGAGAGCCATCGTGTTCTTTCATATCTTTATTAGCTTCTCGGCTAAACAAAGATGAACTTGATGTACTCGGATAAACGTGGATCCAGCTGGTCAATTGTCCTCCTCCAAATTGTAGTCTCGCAAGAGTCGCGTGGATCCCGTGAACGCCATCTCGCGAGAAGATTCGCGATCACGGTCATGAATAACGAGACATGGGACCGATGCACTCGGGAAAGCGGAAGAGAAAACCTGCGGGGGCGTGAGGGGGCGCGTGGATCGATGGGTAATTGTCCTGGTTACCATCAGCCGTTCGCGGTTTCCATCTGCTATCCTCTTCATTAACGATTTCTGCGACAATGCTCGTGGTTCTCCATCGATGATGAATTGCACACCGGCAACGTGTCCCGTGGTCATTCGACGTCCACCGTTTCACCTGGACGCGTGAACCCACTACCGTAAAACGTTCCTTCTTCCGTTTCGATACGACTTTCAGGAGGCCACACGAATGATCTGAGAAGCGGGTGTAAGCAAGGGGCCACTGGATGGTAACGGAAACGAACAATGTTGACGGGATAGGTGAATTGTAAGAAGAAGTGATGTGTTTCCGCGTAGATCGATCGGACAACGTAGTTCTGTCTGAATCGAACTGTGTCGCTTTGGACACGTGCCAGAAAGCGGATCGTGACGCGGCCGCGCGAAAAGTGAAGCGAGAGACGAAGGAAGGAATCTCGCGTGTCGCGTGCACAACGCTCGTGTCCGTTCCCTCTTCTAGAAAAGTTCTTGTTAGGGAAACCCCTCGCAATTGGCCGACTAGGACGCACTCGTCCGGCGCAGCTTGCGGATAAAATGTTCGCCGCGGAGACAGACAGGGAAGAACGGAAAATGAATTTTTTTCTCTTTCTCTTTTCTGGGTACAACCCTCCCCCTTCTGTTACCACTTTCGGGCTGCTATTCTCTGTTTCTCTTGATTGTTGACTGGGTATCGCGCAGTGGCCAAAGGGACAATAAATTCGATCAACTCGAAAAAAATAAATTATCTCACTCAGCCGGCTTATTTTAACATGCCAAATTGCAGTAAAATACCGACTTCAATGAAACTTAACGGTATTTACATATTATTTTGAACATATTAAGACACCTAGTTCAAGAAATTTTCTATCCATTTTGACATTTATATATTGTTTTAAATCGTGAATTTGCACAAACATTCGCAGTCTAATAATGAATAATTAAAAGACGCTTTGTAAGCGGAACCGGGTTACGTGTGACCCATAGCCCCCTGTGTGGAACATATTTATACTTTAATAATTTTCTACAAATAACAAATAAAAATATGATTTTAATTATGTATGATGACTGAATGTTTCACACGAGCGGAATTTGTTTCAATACTTCCATAAATAATGTGTTTGTAACTTCTTCGGTAGAAATAAAACATTCTTTTGTAGCGAAAAAGAATGTTTGAATGCGGAAGGAATGCGCGCCGAATAAATGAGAACGAATGAGATCGAGTAATAGGTAAGGTGTGAGTGATTGGACGAATGATGTGTGAAAGGGAAGAGGAAGGAGTGCGAACGGAACATAAATACGGGCCAAGGAGACAAAGCAAGGAGAATTGAAGAATAAAGCAAACTGAAAGCACGTGTCTCGTTCAAATTATATTTCTAACACTTTTTTATTTAAAATGAAGCACGAAAGAAACGAGTATGTACATATGTAATTATGTAACCTATTTATGATTCAATGAATTAAACGAAAAAGAAATGAAATGCGTATATACATGTTATATTATATGGATATACATACATATCGGTATTAACATGGTATTTTATATTATTTCTATATTCTTACAGAAGATACGTCAAATTCAACGACCTAAACAATGTGCCATGCAGATTATGTAGTCTCGAAATATTTTAATCTGAAGATGAAGAATAAAAGAATATTTGTAAATGTGGTTGTATAATACAACTAAACATGTCTGAAATCTTAGAAGTATAAAACAAGTTTATTAACCTTTAACAAAATTTTTAAATAGGCTAAAATTCAAAACATTAAATATCTCGAAATAAAGAAAAGTGGGCTTGCACCTTGTACCACTTTAAAGACGAAAAAGCGACTCAAATATTTGTCCATTGATGCGAAATAGGTTGAAGGGTGATGCAGCTTTACAACTTCTTCTATAACAATAATATAAGTATATATTATTATTATATATAATTACACGCTTTAATAGCAAATACACAAAGTATAGCAACGACAAGTTGTATTTCAGACTATTATTTTTTAAATAAGTTTTTGTATTTATTTCTATTTGTATCATAAGAGTAGTACATACATTTTAATTTTCATACACTCTTTTTATAATATATGTACACATCAAGCCAATAAACTGTTTGTCACTCTTAAATCTATTGCATCCGTGTTAAATTACACTTATAAACTTGATTTTTGGCAGCGTGTACCTCGATAAACTTTCTTATGAACGGTACTGTAGGTTTTTCACAGTGCACAGTATGTTTCAGTTTATCCCACAGATGAAAACTTCACAGAACTAGGTCCGGAGAATCGGCTAGTCACTTCGCAGCTCCCTGTAACTTACAGGCTGTAAGCTGTAGGCCTTGAATAAAAATCGATATCTTTTTCTACTACACTGGTGTTCCAACGTATTGCACGCCTATTGCAATATACACAGCAAATGCATAGCAAATTCGTTTCTCACTTCACAGTTCTTACTCTGTTCTTATACTTATCGCCACTTACCACAAGTCCCTACCCTTATTCTTATTCGACCAGATTCCGATAAAAATGACGTTCGTGCAATACTATAGAACACCAGTGTATTCTCATCCGCCAATAAAAATTGTATTTCTACATATTTTTGTGAAATTCACTGTACTGACTGAAGCTCTTGTTTTACTTGCTGAACATTTATGTATTTAGTCAAATTCGCTGTATTCGTCGAAGTATCTGTTATACTTGCTGGACATCTATTTATTTAGTAAAATACGCTGTATTCGCTGAAGTACCCGTTACACTTCCTGCTCACCTATTTATTTAGTAGTCGTATCCGGACGCCGCAGCGAGTTAAATTTAACTTCGTTGCGCAAAATGTATGTACGATATCGATCGACTTTTTTTATACTTCGACCACTGTTTTAGTCCTTAAATGCAAAAGTTGCCCGTTGCTACATCGATTCGTCGAATAATCGGCGTGCCACCAACGGCCACACGTCGCAGAGCAACTACTTTTCCTGTGCGTCAATTAAAGGGTTTTCTCTAATTAGAAATTTTGAAAAACTCGGCAACATCAAATTGACATTTTGAAAGCGGCATATATAAAAGGAGTTTTACTATTTGGGCTTGAAACAGAGGACTACGTAAATTTACAAAAAATATTCTTTACATGTAAATCGAATATGAAACTTTAAATGCGTTTTTCTTAAAAGGACATTTTCAAAGTTGCTGAACATGATTAATCGAAAACCGTTGAACGGATCCATTCTAAATTTCGGGGTCTTATTTTAGATATAAAAATCTAGTATTTATTTATTTATTTATTCTTTTTTATTCTACATTTAAGTACAAAACTAACGTGTAGTATTTGTCATAATGATGTTATAGTTGATATACATCGACCAATAACTACTTACACAGATTTAATCCAATAAATATAGCTAAATGTCATATGATATTTAGGACTGTATATAAAGATAATTTATTCTTAAATACGAGAAGTGTTACAAGGATTACATATAAAATCAATTGGATTGAATTCTGTTTCATTAAAATTTTAATAATTATCAAAAAAAGTATTGATTAATACCCTTATTAGTCCAAATTTTACATATAATAAACGATCTGCTGTCACCCTTGGGTTTGGCCGCCCAGGTGCGGGAGCACCTTTTGCACCCCCGCAGGAACGGCCCGGGTAACGTATAATGTTTTAAATAGAACATAATTTCAACTCTCAAAATAATATTAATTTGATCAAAAATATTGTACACATTGCGCCTCTGAAAACTGCTATTAGCCAATGATAAGAACAAAAACTAAAAAGGCATAGTGGAAGTGTTGAAACAAAAAATCTTCTACAAAAAGAATGTTTTAACCCATTCAGACCCACTTTGTAGAATTGTGCACATGAATCTCACTTGCACTTTTATGAATATCTATTTACGATCCTCGAGGTGTATTGTACATAATTACATGTATAAAAATTAGTAAATTGTATAAGCAATTAGTAGATTGTGACAAAACTTGGACTGTGCATTTACAAGGATAATTATAATTATGCAGCTAGATGGAATACAATAAAGTGAGAATTGTAATACAGCTTAACACAGATTTCCCTTCTTTTGTACCTAAACAAACCGTCATCCAATTGAATATGTTTCTCGTGAATTTCACTACTTAGCAATTAATCTACAAAAATTCAAACTTGAATGGATGTTCGGTGTCTAATACATAATGACAATGAAATACATCTATAGTGGCTACAAAATATATTTTCCGACATTCGCAGTTTTAAAATAATTATTTACATTCTTGCATCTAAATTCACTATACAGATTCAGTATGTTTTTTATTGTAACAAAACTGATAAATATCCTTTTTGTATCTATTATATGTAAATGTGTGTACGTATAGTCATTACAAAAATTTTGATATGATCACCTAATAATAAAAAGAAAATAGTACGTTATACGTCAAATGGACGCCATATGACCATGACGGATCTCTCAAGAGGTGTGACAAATATGTACACTAGATAGACTGGCTTTTATTTACTCTTGAAGGAAGTTCTTTTTAAGGTTTTTTCGCGCCGCCTCTTAAAATAGTTCCAATTACTACAAAAATAATCTGTGTGAAGTTTGAGCTTGATCAAATAAGGGGAAAAGGATTCTCTGAGCCCGTAAACATTTAAATAATTACTTAAATTGCACACAAAGTCGATTTTATTCGATTATTCTCTAAGTTATTGATTATATCAGAAAACACGTCAAACCAAAGTTGTAGACAAGGAGCACCTTTTATGTTTTA